AGCCACCCGGCAAACCCCCCCTCCAGCCAGGCAGAGCACCATTCACTGACCTAGGGAGGATCCCTAAGGCGCCCAGCCATATGGCGCTCTGCCCGCCCCCCAGCTCCCACGGCTTGGCACATTTGGGATACCCCCTATATCAGTGCATGGAGCTCTGTCCGGCTGAAGAGGGGGGTTGCGCGAGCGCCTGCTCTGCCCCCAGCTCACATGCCTCCCAGCCTCACCATGCCCTGGGCCAGCTGTCTTTGCAGCCGGCAGCGAGCTCCAAGCAAAACTTCTTCTCCGGCTTCCAAACTCCGGAACCCGGCTTCTGATTCTTCCAGCAGTGGCCGCTCTAGGAGTGTTTTCTATGGTTATGGGCAGGCTGCCGGACAAAGTCTTCCGGCAGCCTGCCTATAACCATACAGCACAAGTCGTAACCAAAATGAAATTTGGCTGGATCCATCAGACTACGTGGCAAAATCTTTTCTCAGAAAAGTAAGATATGTAGATGGTTCCATTCACAGAAATATTGAGTAGGCAGCGAGGGCATAGATCTGGAGGTTGAGGCATAGACTAGGTTGGAATTGCTATCAGTAATAGCGACTGGGATGTTTTTTCCCCCTTTCCTTCAGATATTTGTTACTTAAAACTCACCAGCTATCTCTAGATGCCTTTCTGGTTGCCCTGAAATTCATGAAAGTCACTGATGTTGATATTGATGAAGTCCAGTGCATTTTGGCTAATCTCATTTACATGGTAAGTGTTGGCATTCATAATATGGCATGGATAGAAACAACATGTGCTGTTGTCGTAGACTTACCGTACTATAACATTAACGTCTCTGAATCCTACTTTTATATACAGTGAACGTACTCGGTATATTCATAAGCATAAAAGGACAAATGGTTACTCAATGAACAATGGGATTGGACAAGTTTTTTTCTCCATTACATATTTTTCCAGCATTGTATTAATGGTATATTAAAAACTAGCTTATAGTCAGAGGAACATTGTCAGCTTTCCCAGGTTCTGTGTTAGGATGAGAGTACATCAGCCTTGTGCCTTTGGGCTTCACTGAGGTAACAGATCCCAAAATTCCCAGCCAGCTTAATCAGTGGCCAAGATGGCAGAGAATTCAGAAATTCATGGTTTTTTGTATAGCTGGAAGGCAACAGATTCAGGGAAAATAGATATCCATGGTATCAGCAGCAATGATGTATGAAAATAATTATATAACAATGTTGATTCAAAAAAAAAAGTAATTCCTTTATACCTGCTTGATACCTTTTAGTGCCCCTTTCTAGGTCTGGTGCCTTCCAACCAGTATTGAATTTTAGCTGCCCAAATACTTATCTAGCATGTTGAAAGATCATCTTGATTTGTAATTCTGGGACTTAACTTTATAAATACACGTGTTTATATTTGGGTAATCTGGAGGATGCCAAGTTGACTTAGAACAGCAGTTCTTCAATTGGAGGTAATTTGGGCCTATGTTGGGAGTAATGGAATAATTTGTAATTTCTGGTTTGTGAGTTGAGGATCCGGTTTGGGATTATCTTTCT